TTATATTTTATTCAAAAATAAAATCATTATTGTTTTTTTAAAAACACATAAAATTGTATTATAACATCTACAAAGACATATAATATTAAAATCGAGATGTGTCTCGCTGCATTGCGCGAGTACTCTTCTAGTATATATATATATATATATATATATATATATATATTTACAACCATCTCCTACCCAATCAGAAATTTAACTTTTTTTCAATTTTTGAGGGCTGAATTGTCCTTTTACTATATAACCGTTTTTAATGGCTATTATCATCTTCTTGATTTTTTTAGGATATTATTAATGTTAACCGCTTAATTATGGAAATTTTGTAATTATCTTTTCTATAAATAACCTAATTAATTCCACAATCATGTTTTTTAAGTCATGTTAAACTGTTTCATCAAGAACATTAGAGGTATATTAAACAAATTAAACAACTGAAATTCATGAAAAAAAATTCATGCATTTCATTAGAAATACATGAAACAATTTCATCGGATAACTACCATCTAATATAACATATCCATGCACAAGTTCAGTATGTATCTTCATAAAACAATTTCATATGGAAAATAAATTTCATATAGGAAGTATCTCTAATGAAATCTCCCGTGATTCTGAGTTGTGCTTCCGTATTTGGTAATCGGGATTAGAGTATTTTCTAGGTTTTGATAAACAAGCATATTTTTAGTGATTTCATCTACTTACCGCGAATAAGACTCATAGCTTACCGATCATTTCACCCTTCCAGCATCTTTTTATTAAATAACTGCATTAATCTTTTTTATTGACATATGTATTTGATCTTGCCTTTAATCAATGTTGATTTAGATAATTATGTCATTTATTAAATAAATATAAAAAGAGTAATTTAGTGATAAAAAATTACATAAATGCATTTGATTAATTTATTTCTCCAATAAATAGAAAATATATATCCCCTGATTAATAAATTAATTGTTCACAATGTATATCTAAATCCTTACACAATGTTTTAATGACTTTTTGTTGTTCTTTTCTTTTGTTTTTTTGTTCATGGTATTGTTGTGTCACTTTGTGTTTACACAGTGTATAAGAAACTAGGTGGTATATTTGATAATGATTTACATCGTGATACTATATGTTTTTGGTTCGTCTGAGATGTTTGGCAGGTTTTCAAATTTGATTATTGTTTTTGTTCATATTATATACACAAATCTCTACACAATGTTATCAGGGATCTGCAGTTGTTTTTAATCAGTTTGTTGTCTTTGGTATTTTGGTGTTTATATTATGTTCACAAGGTGATCACAATGTGTTACGTGGTGTTAAAATGTGTTAGGTTACATGTTAAGTTTAATTTTATTTTCTAGATTATGTTGTTATTGAGAAGAAATTAGGAGAGAGAAATTTAAAAAATACCGACAATAATCTTTATTTAAATTTTTAATTCAAAATTATCAAAATTATTTATTTCCTAATTTAACCCTTAATTTAATATGATTTATGGTTTATATTGGATTCACAGATCTCACAAATTCCATGAATCTCAATATATATATATATATATATATATAGGGTCTATTCAAGGGAGAACTGAGTTGTTTGTGGTAACTATGAGAACCAATATTAACCACAAATCAATAGATAAATTAGGAAATTTGGTAATTTTAAATTAAAATCTTAATGCAAGAATATTTTTGGTATTTTAAAACTCTCCTCTCTCCTCTCTTCTCTCTCCGGCCACCGTTCTTCGGCCTCCGGCCATCGTCCTCCGGTGATACCACTATGATATCACTGTGATACCTAAAAATATTGACTCTGTTAAACAAAAGATACATTGTGATACCTAATCATATATAAGATGCATAGTGATACCACTGTGTTACATCTTTGATCGACCACATAAACGACATCAATGTGATACCCAAGCACATATATGATGCATTGTGATACCATTGTAGTATCACCGGAGGACGGTGGCCGAAGAGAGAAGAGAGGAGGGAGGAAAGTTTTAAAATACCAAAAATATCCTCGCATTAATATTTTAATTCAAAAATGCCAAAATTATAAATTTCCTAATTTATCTATTGATTTGTGGTTAATATTGGTTCTCACAGTTACCACAAACTAATTAGTTCTCATTTGATTAGGCCCCTATATATATATATATATATATATATATATATATAGGGGCATGTTTAAACGAGAAGCTAAATATTTTACGAGAAGACGATAAGTCTCAATATCATATATGATTACATGTATGATACAGAAGTTTAATCAGATATTATTAAACCCATGTTGCATTGAAAACACATAGACGTTTAATCATATATGATTAAACACACCCAAATGAATGTAATCATATATGATATTGAAATTTTTCGTCTTCTTGCAAAATGGGGTGGGATACCAGGTGACTAAATATCAGAGACTAAGTTATGATGACATTTTGCATATCACAGTAATCATTTCATCATTAGTTACTATGAAAGTAATGATATGCATGATGATAATGATCTTGATGAACTTGAGGAATTATATAATCAAATGGCTAATCTTGCAAAGAAATATAGTGAAATCAGTAAAGGAATAAGTAGATCAGTATAATTTCTAGAAAAAGAAGTCCATGATCTTACAGAAAAATTTACATTTGGTATTAAGAAACATGATGATATGAACGATGTGATTGCATGCTTAAAAGAGAAATTGTTTGAAAATGAAGAGTGTGACTCATGTGTTAGGATTGTTTGTTTACCTCTTAATAATTTCATTAAGAGACAATATTTGAACCGTTAAGAGGTGAATCTTGTTTGGCAAAAAAAAAGTCTACCTTTTAATGGTTCTAAAACCATCTGAATGATTTTCTATCATGTATCTCTTTTAACCATTAAGATCCCTAATTTCATTGTACACAATTACCAAACAATTATATTTCATTTTGCAATATATCATGAGAGTCTCTTAATCATTCTACACCAAATTATTCAACAATTGTCAAACAGTCCCTTAGCATGCAACCTTTTCATTTAGCTTAATGAAAAAGTTGCATGCTTAGAGAATAATTTAAGTGTCAAAAAATATCAAGAATAGTTGAAAATAATTTATACTTTATGAAAACTTTGTACATGTTAAAAAATGTTTATTTTGAAGTTTTAAGTGTTTTCTTAAGATTAACCAAAATAAAAAGTATCATTATTTGGTGAAATTGTGTTCTTGGAATAATTTTATTTTATAAAATCTCGAGAAATGATTAAATTTGAAGGTTTTGGACATTTTAACAATAAATCGTAAAACGTGTGGATGTTTTAGATTTTGTGTTATGTTGGGTCATGGGATTTATTAAACTCTCTAAATGCATTTTGGAGTTCATAATGAGTCGTTTTGGATTAGTCCAACAAGTGAAAAAACTTAGGGGCCGTTTACCAAACGCTTACCCGAGTAAGCGCTTACCAAGTAATATTACATCACCAAATGTATATGGCAAAGACCGAGAATCTTACCCGGTAAGAGCGAGACAAGAACCAAGAGTCTTACCCGGTAAGTGAGGACGACGACTCTTACCATGGTAAGCGCTTACCGGGTAAATTGTTGCATACAATATCGTTTTGGTGGACTAAAATCTTATCCGCCAAGTAAATAATAGTGTTAAATTTTACCGGTAAGCACTTACCGGGTAAGTGTTTGGTAAACAGCCCTTTAATGGCTTGAATTTGATATAATACCCCTTTTGGGATTTTTGCCCAACCTTTGAGTTCGTTGTGTTAATTTTCAAACCATTAAACGAAGTATTTATGTTTTGTTGGTTTATTTTTTATTTTATTTTATTGAATAGTCAATTGAATTCTTAAACTTTTGACTTGATTTTGACTCAGATGAGTCTTAAGGATTTGCTATATGTTGAGCTTTTGGAATTATATGCAGTTATGATATATTTAATTAAAATTTACACGTTGTGGGTGCGTTGGTCATTCATTTAGAGTCATGTTAATTAAACTGCAATGTATTGGATCCATAAACATATGTATCAGTCATGTTTTGTCAAGTGAGTAGTTTTGATGTTCTTTTTTTATTTTATACCCTTACTATAAATAATCATATATGAACTAAAATCTATTAAAAATAAGTTTCTTTTTTTACAAATTATTACATTATAATTGTCTTATCGATACCTTCTTTTTAATTTTGTTTTATATCTCATACGCAATTCCTATCAGTTCTCCACCCCTTCAATGGTAAAAAATTGGTGGTTTTTGAAGTGCTTTTCTCCCTATAACATGATCAAAGAAATTGAAGCACCGAAATCTTGAACACACAACAAAAACTAGAGCAAACATATAATAGCGGATTCTAAATTAGCGAAAAAAATTATCCCTGGAGTCGAGACTAAGAGGCCGTATCGATTGGTTGAAAGGCCTGAAAGAAAACGCGCGTTAGCTACAGCACTGCATGGGTCGATACGCACAGCGCCTAGTATCCATCGACCAAGCCTCCGCAATTTCAGAATCCCCCGCTAAATGACCGCTGAGTGATAAAGGAGGTCATGCAATTTGGGATCCTCATTTTGGTGAAGGAATAGATGGACTGTCGCAAGCTGTGATTTGTGGCGTCAATTCATAATATTTTTGCAATTCAGGGTTGTATAGGTAGTTTTTCAGTGTTCAAGACAATGTATAAATAGTTATATATAACTGGGTACAATCACCAATGTTCAAAGTGCTTGAATTTCTATCGGGAGCATTAGCAGTGTAATAAAGCCATTTTGTTTTGTTGCCGTTTTACGCATGTAATCTTGTATTGATGGCAACAATGTAGAAATTTTACATCCCACACATGACATGGGTACATATACTAGTATATAAATAATATTATAAATTTAGGATTTGTATAACAAAATACGAATATTTATAATAAATTTATTAAAATTATGATTAAATTTATTATTTTATTAAAATATTTATGAAAGTTTTTTTTTTATTTATGAAACAAAAAACATAACTTTAGCTTTGATTTATTTTACATAAATATTTTTAAACTTGTTATTTTTGTTTTTTAACAATTAATATATTGAACAATAATAAATATAGTAATAAAAATATAAAAATAATTAATAAGATTAATAATGATTTTAAATAATTAGTAATTAATAAGAAAATAATAAAAAGCTCATGTACCTAGGGCTGTAAACGAACCGAACGAGCACGAACATATGCTTGTTCATGTTCGTTTGTTTAACTTAACCGAACAAACGAACGAAAATCTTTGTGTTCATATTCGTTCGTATAGAAATTAGGTTGTTCGTGTTCGTTTATGTTCATTCGTTAACATACTAAAAGAACAAACATAAACGAACATAAAAAAAATATTATTTGAATTCAAAGTAAATAAAAAAATATTATATATTAAATTTAATATATAAACGAACGACTATAAACGAATGTAAATGAAAGGTAAATGAACGAACGTTCACGAACATAAATGAACGAATGAGACTTTTGTTCATGTTCGTTCGTTTAACTAAAAGAACAAAAAAAATTGTTCATGTTCATTCATTTATTAAATAAACGAACTTTCCATAGAACGGTTTACGAACAGTTCGTTGAACGTTCAATTCGTTTACAGCCCTACCTGTACCCATCCAAATAAGAATTTTGTGATAAGTTACAAAACAAGCCTAAAAATATTAATCAAAATTCAAAATAAATAAATGGGCAGTCCAAAAAAAACCGGGCCATAAGCCCAAAATTATTTAAGTTCACAACTTGATCCAAAAAACTGGTAGTTTCGTAAATAACTAGAAGACTGAGGTCCTAAATCCCCAAAACCCTAATCTTTATATTATCAAGCCATCACTACAAAGTCCAATCTCTCAAGAACTAGGGTTTCTCATCAAACATGGCGGCACCTCCACCCAACTCCGTCCAATGTTTCGGCAGGAAGAAGACGGCAGTGGCAGTCACACATTGCAAGGCTGGCCGTGGTCTCATCAAGATCAATGGTGTCCCAATCGAGCTTGTGCAGCCTGAGATCCTCCGTTACAAGGCTTTCGAACCGATCCTCCTTCTCGGCCGTCATAAATTCGCCGGGGTGGATATGAGGATCCGGGTCAAAGGTGGAGGTCACACTTCTCAGATCTATGCTATTCGACAGAGTATCGCGAAAGCACTCGTTGCGTACTACCAGAAGTTTGTTGATGAAGAGCAGAAGAAGGAAATTAAGGATATTCTTGTGAGGTATGATCGAACTCTGCTTGTTGCTGATCCTAGAAGGTGCGAGCCGAAGAAGTTTGGTGGTCGTGGTGCTCGTGCAAGGTTCCAGAAGTCATACCGTTGATCGAAACAGAGTAATTCATGGCATTTTCTTGCTAGTAGTTTTTATTCATGTTATGCTTCTTTTTGATAGTATGTTGAGACACGAAAATGATGTTATTTCACTAGAAATTTTGATGAAAGTAATTTTTACGTGGTAAACCCTAATTGATTATCCTTGTTTTCATTCCCTGCCTGTTACTGATCACATGTCTTAATGGTACTTGTGAGGAATAACATTTTCTATGAATAAGTTTCTATAATTCATAGGTGGTCTCTTCTAATTGGCTTGGAATTTGATGCGCTTGTTAGCTTAATATTCTTTCAGCTTTTGAATCTTTGCTGCTAAGTTTATTAGTTTGAAAATTTGTTTATACATTAGAAGCTTATCAAGTCTTCTTGTAGATTTTTATGGCCTGCAGAACTTGGTCTCTTGTTATAGAAGACAAAGGGTCTGTTTGTAAGCAGCTTAATGAGTTTAAAGGAACTCACAACTTACTTGGTCTGCTATATGTAACTGTTCGGTAGTGATTTAATGATATAGAAAATGGCTTATTCAGTAAGCCAAGTTTTTTCCAAATCTGTCTCTCCCAGTTAAAGAACACAACCTTCCATCTATAGGAAAACCCTCCCAAACAAAAAGCTTCTCCAAATCTATAAAGATAGATTAATCCACATAGATAACTTTATTCATACAGGATTTGATGCAAAACCTACCAAACAGCCCTAAACTAACTACCCTCTATGTCTCAGGAAACAAAAAGCTTCTTATTGTATTTGAAGTTTATATTCCAATACTTGTTATATGGTCGGGTCACATAGTTATCTGTTTTACATATTCACTACAGAACACAGCTTTTTGTTAATTTTGAAGTTTAAAGCAATGCATTCAGACACTCATTAGTGTCATCTTCATAATTGGTTCATCTTCATCTTTTATTTGTTTATCAAACATTTGGAACATGGGATGCAAGGTATTTGTGTCTGTGTCCACATACATTGATTTGTTACCACTTGCAGCATACTTATCTTTGTGTAGTATCTAGTTATTAGATGGAATTAGACCGAATCCAGACACACTATTGCGGATGTTACGTGGACGTCTGACTTAAGTTCAGGATGTCGGTATGTTCAAGTGTTTGCCATCACATATCTAGACATTCCCATTTGAATCCAGTTTGGCAAAATGAATTATTTTTGTTAATACATCATGGAGTTTGGAGAATTTTGGTTTTACTGGGATGGGCGGGTTTTGTAATCCCTCGGCCCCGGTTTGTAGTAACGTCCCCCGGCCCCGGTTTGTAGTAACGTCCCCCGTCCCCGGTCAAAACCCGTTTAAACCCCGGTTAGTACCCGATTTAACCCCATAAATAGTATCATTTAGTTTGATTCTACCGGGGATCCCCGGCCCCGGTTTGAGTAACATCCCTCATCCCCGGTTTGAGTCTACCGGGGATCCCCGGCCCTGGCCCGGGACCCATTTTAGCGGGGAATCCCTGTCCCCGTTCGGGTCGGGTGAACCGGTTTCCCCACCGGGTCGGGGCAAATCACCATCCCTACTTGCCAGTTGCTTTGTTGTCATTGATCTTGATCAAATTTGTGGTTTAATTAAACACCAATGCTACTATTGGGTCCTGTTTGATTTGTAAGAAGGAAGAAGGAATTGTATTTGAAATTGAATGTCATCCTAATCCCACGTTTGGTTTGCAGGATTTTCTGGATTTGAAATCCTGAGCAGAATTAGCTAATCAACAAACAGAGTTTCTACTTTTTAGCCATTTTTTTTTGTCCCAAATTCATTTTTTAGTCAATGATTATGTAGGAAGTGGAATCCTTATGTAGAAGCCATGCACAAATGTGTAAAGATATTTTTATTTTATTTTTTCTGTCGAAAACTAATCCAGTAATCCTTCGTAAGGCTTCTGCGCAAGGATCGACTAAAAAGTGAATTTGAGTCAGAAAACGGTTAAAAGTAAAACCACTTGTCAGTTTTGGCTATTTATGTACATTTCTTTGAATCCTAGGATTGCACTGAAATCCCACGAACATAGGATTTTGAAATCCCATGGAAATAGTTGGTATTTTACGGGATTTCATAAGATTTATATGTAATGTTTGAAAATATGTTAAAAATATTTGTTTTTGTAATTATCAATTAATGGAAAAGTAATTTAGTTATTTTTATATTATTTATAATTTATTTTTATAAATTATTCATAAAGAACGGAATTTAGTTTCATTACAAATCCTACAAACTAAACACATCAAAATTTCCAAATCTCCTATCAAGAAATCCAAATCATTCCCTCAAACCAAACGGCTCTTTAGTGATGGTATTGGTGGTAGATTAGATAACTTAAGGGGTCGATCAGCAAACGCTTACTTGCTAAGTGCTTACTGGGTTGCTTACTTTATCGGATATATATGCCAATGACCCGTAATCTTTCCTGGTAATAGCTCTGACTAGGACGGAGGGTTTTACCCGGTAAATGAAGGTGTCAACTCTTAGTGGGTTAGAGCTTACCAGATAAATTGTTGCATATGATTCCATTTTGATGGATTAGAATCCTACCTAGTAAATGAATGTGACAACTCTTATTGGGATTAGAGCTTACCAGATAAATTGTTTCATATGATTCCATTTTGATGGATTAGAATCTTACCAAGTAAGATAAATAAGAGTGTTGATTTTCATCGATAAAAACTTATCTGGTAAACGATTTAGGCTTTTTCTCTCTCCTTGCTTTGGTGAAAGAGTAGTGGATGCCATTGATATGGCTCTGGTTAGGGTGTTCAAGATGCACAAAGTCCGGTAGTTTTTGGGCCATGGACTTCCAAGTTCGTTTATTAGTAAGCAAGAAGGAAAAAGCTAGAAATTTTCAGATCTGTTTCGGATTTGGAGTTGAAAGAGGATTCGATTGGCTTTTTTATGCCGGGCTTTTTTTTTTGTGTTTTTTCAGGTTTCTAGACTTTTTTAGGGTGGGTTTTTTTCGGGCTCTTAATCGGGCCTTAAAAGTTACTGTGATTGGGTTTTAAGGCCGGGCCTAAGCTGAGTTGTTTGTGGCTTGTTTTACTTTTGATGTGGTTAGTTATTGAGGATTTGGATTGAAAGCTGATATGTGTCATCATCTCCAGTTCCACAATAAGGTTTCAGCTCATGAGTTTTCATCAGAGACATTCCTATTAGAGGTAAGGTTGAATTATCTATCTAGATGGTGGTCTACAAGGGTGTACAGAAAATCAACCGATCAATTAAAATCGATCGACTATAATCGGACATCTAATTGTAATCGATTCAGATTCAAATTTTCAACTAGGCATGGCAATGGGGCGGCGATGAGGCGGGTTTTGTAATCCCGGCCCCGGTTTTATTAACAGCCCTGGCCCCCCGGCCCGGCAGGTAGGGGGATTAACATCCCGTCCCTGGTTTATTTCCTGGTCAAACCCGGTCAAATATTATATATATATATATATTATAAAATACTAGAAGMGTACTCGCGCAATGCAGCGAGACAAATCTCGATTTTAAT